GTTGATGTATGACCGATTTTCTTTCAGAACCTCTAAGACTTGCCTCAAAGGACTCGAGTGATCTTCTTTGGATTTGTTGTAAATGAATATATCATTGAAATAAACCACAACAGAAAACCTATAAAGGGATGAAAAAAGGTACATGGAGCATTTGAAAGTTCGAATGGCATTACCAACAATTCATAAAGTCCATCCTTACTTTTGAAGGCAGTCTTCCATTCATTCCCAGGTTTGATACGGATCTGGTGATAGCCATTGCGAAAGTCTATTTTTTAGAAGACCTTAGAACCTTCAAACATATCTATCATGTCATCCAATCGTTGAATGTAAAACCTGTACTTACTGTTATCTTGCTGATGGCACGCTATCAATACACATACGCCACTTTCTATCCTTCTTTGGCATTAAGAGGACAGGTACTACACACTGACTCATACTCTCCTTTATGAGTCCTTTTCTCAATAGCTCCTCATTTTGTTTCCTTAGAATCTCATTCTCCTTTGGACTTATTTGATAATGAGGCAAATTTGGAAGGCTAACTATAGGTACTAGATCAATTTGGTGCTAAATATTCCTCATAGGAGGTAACTCATATGGTAATTCATCAAAAACCAAATCCTCAAATTATGTCTATATTTATTGCACTTAAGATGTAACACTCCCATCTTTCTTATTTGCTGTAAAAAGTCCATTAACTACAACTGGATAAAAACAAGCAGATTTTCTTACAGACTCTGCAATTTTCTTTTCATTACTTGTAAATGTAAGGAAACTCTCGGTTCATTGTTGAGTAGACATCTTCGCTCATTTGAGGAGAATCATAGCGATCTTATGAATGCCCCATGAAAAGATTACTATATTATCATGTCCTTTGAGGTTGAATCCATGTCAAATTGCCTTTGACCCAATTGGGTATAGTAAACATTCATGTCTTCATCCATGTAATGCTTGCCAATGGAAACCGGTACTTTGCAAATTTCAGCAACCTAAATGGAAGGACCTTTCTTTACCTAATTGAGAGCATAAGGTTTATGATGGTTCTCAGTAATTTCAACAAATTCACCAACCTCTTTGAAAAAAAATTCTCACAACTTCTATTGTTCACAATTATCTCACACAGCTTATTCTTGATAGAACAAAGTGATTGAAAGATGTAGTGGAGCTGTCCCTCCCCATAGGCGAACTCCTCTCATGCTTACTCATCATCTACTTTCGTGTCTTCTTCCTCGTCCGTTGCCTTTGATTTTGCCAATTTGGCATGCTTTCTATTAGGACAAGTATTAGAACGTTGCCTAGGCATGTAAAAATCTATAACAAATATCTTCCGTAGGCTTAGCATACGAATTTGTATTTTGAGGTACGCCTCAAGTCTAACCTTTGTACCCAAACTAACTACCGTTGTCAACATTACTCCCGTTAAGATTGGCTGGATTTGTTGTGTGGCCTTTCTTTTGTTTAAAGGAACGGATGATGATGTTTCAATAGGTGACCTCCTATACGAAATCACCCTCTTATCAGATTCTACCATCTAGGCTTTCATTGCCATTTTAGTGGCTTCCTGCTACGTCCAAATCTTTTGCAATCCAATTCTATTTTGAATAGCCACCTTCAAACTATTGGTATACTTGGCTACCTTTTGATTTTCAAATTCCGATAGATTGTTTCGCTTTGCCAATCGCATAAATTATTAGTGTAGTCTGATACTATACGACTGCCCTGCGTGCATCCCAGGTACGTATGATATAAAATATGTTCATAATCTGCAAGTATAAATCGATCCATCATAGACTGTTTCATTTTTCTCCAAGTCTGAATCCAACTATATTCCTATCTCATTCGAGCATTCTATAATTGACCCTATCATACTGTTGTTGTAGATTTTAAATGGAATACTGCTATCTTAATCATCTTGTCGTCTGAAACATTCATAATTTTGAAGAATCTTTCAACTTCTACCAACAAAACCAAAAAGTTCTTGATCTCCCTATGACCAAAGAATGGAGGAATGTCTGCTTTAATCATAATCATCACAGGTATTTCGATTTTGATGATTCCTGTTACGTGGTGGTGCTTCAGACTCTTTATCTAACTCCGATTCGCTATCTTCTATTGCACCTCTCCTATTATTTCCTCTCCAAACTATAGGCTCAGCGATTAGTTCATTATTGATCGCCTATTGTTCATTTTGTCTATTGTTTCCAATACCATGCAGCAATAGTTGACGAGTCTCTTCGATCTGAGTAGTAAGATTGACAATCCATCGATTTTGGGCTTCCATATCTGCCCTAATAACTGGTACGTTGCACATGGTTATGAATCAAAGATACAGAGACGGGAGCCTACTCTGATACCACTTGATGCAGCGAAAAACAGGAAGTTCAAGCGAAAACCTTAAGAACACAAAATTTGGAATCCACTAAATTATGAAAAGAATAAGATCAAGAATTTTATTAATCAAAAGATAATCAAAAAATAATGAATTAATCCTTTATTTATAAGGGTTTACATGAAAATCTAGTTTAAGATAACTAAAATTAATGAAAACCAAGTTTAAACAAACTAAAATTAAAAAGAATTCGAAATAAACAAAATGACAAAAACAGCGTTGAAACTTTAAGGGTAGTTTTCAAGTCCTAACGAACACGTCACAACTGTGAGTTCCACTCGTCTCGTCGTTCTCGTTTCGAAATGGCATTATGAGCCCAAACTAGAGTTCCGATGCTCTTTCTGTACTATTACTTTTTTTTCCCATTTCGATCCAATTATCTATTCAACAATATGTTCTACAACGATAGGTCTCATACCATTGAGTGCTACTATAATCTCATAAGCTGTAAAGTGGAGTTCGAGATAAGCTGAATTAGAGGGTGAGAATTGCACCTTAAGCCCCCAACAACTCGAGGTCAAGTCCTCCTCCGATGGTTTTGAACTTGTAAAATTTTTTCCTAAATAATCCAAAAATATGTCAACAAATTTCTATTTTTCCTCCCTCAATACCGTCTCTGATGCGCAACTTTGTTATTCTATATTCTTTTTATTAGTAAATGTAAATATCATTGATAAAAAATGTTCCATGTACAAGTACACCGGGCATTTTTGAGCAAATCAAAAAGCCAATATTATAGACAAATACACCGGGCATACCCGGGTAGAACAGAAACAGATCAAGCATAATGAAAATCAATGACCCAACACTAAAGACTCGAAATGGATCAAGACATCCGGATACAAAGTGAACATAATTTTGTATATGTGTGTCTTGATCCATCTCACAATACAATGTAAATCCGGTGAAAGGTCTTCAAAAATCTTTCTATTGAGTGTTAACCAAATGTAATAGACGGTGCTTGCAAGTGCAATTCTCTTAGCCTTGCTAAGCCATGAAGTTCCTTGAGCCTCTTTTTTCAACGACTTAAGAGCGGAAGAAAGTGTAGACATAGATCTTTTGATTGCAAGCCATTGTCGAATATTCCACCATAATGTCGAAGTGAAAGAACATTGAAAGAATAAGTGACAAACTGTTTCCTCCATATGCCCGCAAAAAGCACACTTGCGATCAGTATCCAAAAAATGCAATTTGTCTTTAGTTAGGAGTTTTGATTGGACTCTTAACCAAAGCAAGAAAGAGTGCTTCGGAGTGATACAAGATCTCCAAACATCGGCAGCCCATACCTTCTTTGTACCCCTCGGCTTGAAGAAGTCATACGCAAGTTTGGCACTAAATTTTCCCCTGTGACCAGCTGACTAATCTATCCAGCACTGCCCTTTTTCGGTCATTTAGCACATCAGATTACCAGCTTTGAGATTGGTCACAACCGTGTGGTTCCATAGCAGCTTGAACTGAACGAATTCTAGCATGTAAAATAATAGAATTTTCACCGTTCAGGTGGACAGATTGCATGTTCTGTCCATTTGTGAAATTCTGGGAAACAATCATACTTTACCACAGTAAATTCCAGATTTCTAGAAACTTTTTAAACAATGGGGAGTGATCTTTTCTTAGAGCAACCTCCCAAATACATGTCCCTTTAAGATAGATTTGATGAACCCACGGAATTCAAAAGGAGTCCTTTTTATGTTGTATGTTCCAAAGGGATTTAGTAAGTAGCGCTAAATTCCAGCTCTTCAATCCCATCAATCCGAGGCCCCCTTCATCTCTTGGAAGACAAAGATCCTTCCATGAAACCAAAGGCTTCTTAGATCCCCAAAGGAATTTCCGACAAAGGCTAACAATCCTTGATATAATTGTAGCCGGAATAGGGAAAATAGAGAGCCAAAAACATTCTACTCTTTGAAGAACGGTCCTTATAAGTTCAATCTTGCCTGCATAAGATAATGTAGAACAATTCCATGCACCAATATATGTTGTTATTTTGTCAAGAAAGGAGCATAACAACTTAATTTAAGTTTTTCAGATGCAAGGGGGATGCCCAAATACCGAAATGGTATACTCCCCCTCGGAACATTTGTTAATTCCAAGATATCCTCAAGAAGCTGTCCATGAATTCCAGCTGTAAACAAGCTGGATTTAAGAACGTTCAACCTTAATCCCGAAATCGAACCAAAAGTTGAAAGGCAATCCATGAGAATTTTTACCAACATAACGTCTCTCCTAGCAAATAGTATCAAATCATCCGCAAAAGCTAAATGGATGATCTTTTGGGGCCCATATTTTGGGTGAAAGTTGAAATCACTATCATCCGTGGTAGCTTTAAGCAATCTTGAGAGGTATTCAATACAAAGCACAAATAAGAAGGGGGAAAGGGGGTCACCTTGCCGAAGACCCTTCCTACCTTTGAAAAAACCATGCAAAGTCTCATTCAAAGCTATAGAATATGATGTAGAAGTAACACATTCCATAACCCAATGAACAAATCTCAAGGGGAATTGCAACCCATGAAGAACATCTATAAGGAAATCCCAACTTCCCGAATCGTAAGCTTTTGAAAGATCAATTTTCAGGAGGCATCTTGGAGCAACCATTTTCCTATTGTATTACCTCAAGAGTTCTTGGGCAAGATGAATGTTCTTTGTGATACTCCTGCCTTCCACAAAAGTGGCTTGTGCATGATCAAAATGTCTCCCAAAATGGGTCTCAATCTAGAAGCAAAGATTTTAGCAATCACTTTGTAAGTAACATTAAAACACAAGATGGGCCTAAAATCACCAACATGCGGGGTATGATTCAATTTAGGCACCAAAGCAATGGCCGTGTGATTGATTTGTTTGAGGATGGAACCCAAAGAGAAGAACTCCATGATAGGCCCAACAAAATCATCACCAATAGTCCCCCAAGCATTCTTAAAAAAACAAGAAGTATAACCATCCGGGTTGGAAGACTTGTCATCTCCAATATGAAAAAGTGCATCTTTAATTTCCTCATAAGAAATGTCCCGAATCAAAGTGTTGTCTTGTTCCAAAGAAACCAAAGGACCATTAGTAACAATATCCATCTCAATAGGCCGAGTAGGGCATTTTTCCCCCAGCAAACAGTTATAGAAATTGACAAATTCCGTAGCAACTTGATCTTGTGATGTAGTGTATATCCCGTCTTCTTTGAGTATAGTAGCAATAAAATTTCTTCTAGAGTTCCTTTTAACCACCGAGTGAACGAACTTTGTGCATTTATCACTATGCTTAAGGAAGACGCACTTGGCCTTTTGGTAATAAAAACTACGTTCCGCTTCACATAAACCAACGGCCTTCTTCCTCAATTTCGCAAACAAAAGCTGAAAATGTGCATTCATGGGATGATTATGTAGCTGCAATTGGGTAGCCTCCAAATCATTTTTAGCCTCACTTGCCCTAGCCGAAATGTGCCCAAAATGCTTAAAATTAAGCTCCTTCAAAGCACCCTTAAGTTTGCTTAGTTTCTTGCAAAGGATAAATTGTTTCGCCCCTCACAAGTAAAAATTCCAGCAAGCTCGAGTCAGATCATTGAAGTTCTCATGCTTGGTCTACATGTTAAAAAATTTGAAAGGTCTTTGTGCACTACCTACACGGTCATGTATAGAAACAATGTAATGGGAGTGGTCGGAAAGGCATCCGAAAGGTAGTAAATTAGCATCAACATATGCCCCATTTTGCGTCCAAATATCATTGACCATTGTCCTATCAATTTTGCTCCAAATTGAACCATTAGTCCACGTGTAATAACAATCAATGGAGCGCACATCCGTAAGACCCACACGAAGGTAACAATTTGGGAGATCTTTAATTTCATAAGGGGTAACATCCGTCTCATTACATTTCTCATCAAATTTAAGAATATTGTTGTAGTCACCAATAATCAACCAACCCCATAATGATATTCCAAAGTGGCCTTCGGTTAATCATAGTATGAAATCCATAAACAAAACTCACAAGAAAGTAAAAGATGTTACCTTGCAAGTAGCTTTACAATGGATAATTTGTGGATGAACCTCTATCACATCCAAAAAAACTTTGGATGGATTCCACAAAATTAAGATCCTTTCGGCTCTATGTGTGCAAAAATTATTTACTTGCATGAAGCCATCAAACTTATTCCGCAAAATCCTCTTCAATTTTCGATCCCCCAACTTTGTTTCCAAAATACCCATAATATCAATGTAATGTTGCTTGATAAAATCCGAATCCCATTTTTTTAAGGGGTGGATTCATACTCCTAATGTTCCAAGAAGCGATCTTCATAAAGTTGAAGTAAGGGATGTTCCCTTCTTCTTGTCAATTTTTGATCCCGACTTCTTTTTCTCCTCAACTTTGCCTTTTAGCTTTTCATTTCCAGATTTACAAGAAACTGCCTCTTATAAATTGGATGATAAATCTGTCCCAGATTTAGAGGGCCCAACATGAGCAAATTTTTTCACCCCAATAGCCTTGTTTTTCTTGCTAACAACCTTCACAAACCGGGTCCCTACCTGCTCAGGATTTTCCACCTGCTGGCCGTCCACATTTTCAATAGCTAACTGCCTAGAATTTCGGTTTGTAAGCACCCGTTTCTGCCCATCCAAAGTCCCCGGCTGTTCTACCCAAGTTTGTTGCTCATTACAAGCTGCTGGGATTGTTCTACCACGTTTGTTGCTCATTACAAGGTGCCTCAACAAGAGAATTCTGGGAAGTAGATGCCGTTTTTCCAGCCTGCACAAATTTTCGTTGGGCAGTTCCCGTGGCTTTTCCTTTTCCTTTCTCCCCACTGGTATGTTTATTGTTGCATCCAATAGTCGAGTGACCGAATACTTGGCAAGAAATTTTGGTTCATGCTCGAAAACAATTTCTTGTTCACTCAACGTGCCATTAGGGAGCCTAATCTTCACCTTCCTCACAAGTTCAATGGAAACATCAACTTCGACTAAAGCTCTCGCAAAGGATAGTCGACCTCTAGTATCCATGACTTTGTCGGTTGATATAGGTTTCCCAACCTTTGAGACAATTTTACCCAAGGCACTCGTGTTCCAAAATTCCAAAGGCAACCCCAATAAGTTTATCCATACCGGCATAGAACTCATATTCAATAAATAACCTTTTCAATCAGTGAAAAGATTGCATGGAATTTCAATTTACTAAATGAAAGGGATAATGCAGAAATTAATATAGCTGAGGCAAGAGTTCAACTCTCTCTCCTTAAGACGATAAGGCCATGCATTGGTGCTACGATCTTCCGACACTCGTTTTCCAATATACAATGACCTTGACTTGCAATTGTACCAATCCAAATTGCAAGATGTTTTGATCTCTCTCACTCGAAGAAAATGAATATTATTTTGCAAGAGAGAATTTGAATTGATTTTGTAATTAATGAAAACCAACATATGATGGTCAATTTATAGAATTCAAAAGATTGTGTCCATAAGACACAACTATCTACAAGTTGTGTATTGGACGAAAAGTCAAATATTCGACAAACATGTTTTAACAAAAAAATCGTTACTTTTAGAAATAACCATGTGTCACGCGCATAAAATTTCTTTGAGAAAAAATAAATAATGTAAGTAAATATATTATTTAATTTATAGGGAAATTAGGCCCACTACCGTTAAAAATAAAATATTATTTCTTAAAATTAATTAGAACTACAAATTTCCATATTAATTATGCTCAAATTGATTCAGTCACTTTTTTTTTTTTTGTCATTTTTGAGATTTCGTCACTTTTTTGTGTTTTTGTTACTGTTTCAAATATTTTTCAATTTTTGAATTTGTCGTTATTTTTCTTTTCTCTTTTTATAGAATTAAGAGTTAATCATACCACGTGAATATTGGTTCAAAGGGGCATGATATACTACTTTTTTATGAAAAAATGACATGATATTTTTTGGCAGTATTATACCTTGGCTCTTTAAAAAAAATGATGATACGTCACTTTTTTACATTTCAAATTTCATAAAATTGTGAGTGAGCCTAGATGCTGCCAATGTAAGAGGCGTGGTGAGCGCTAAATAAGCAGTCAATGACAGCTTTGACTGCATAAAGCACGCCTATGCGAGCTTATGCAAGCATTGTCACATATATATATTTTTTTCTTTTACTTTTACAATTCTTAAAAGATCGATTTTGTATCAAACAACACGGAGGAAGAATTAGATGAAGAGGATACTAAATTAGAGTTCGATAAAGTGTTAAATAAAATTTAAGCTAATATTCTATCTACATTATATAATTATGATTTCTAAATTTATCTTTTTGTTGAAAACTCTAAAAAAATGTATAAACTTTCTATAAATCCATTTTAGATGTTTGGTAGGTATTATTTTAATTATTAAATGATTTTTAGATTAATTACAAATTTAGAATAATATTAAAATAAGAAAACATTTTTTTAACGCCTTTTTACGCTTATACCTCAACTAGGCTCGTCTTGCCCAAACTTGATATTCGCGTATCGTCACGTATTACACTTTTTAGAACACTATTTTTCAATAGTGTCCACGTTTAGCATCTTAAAAGTGACATTTACGCTTTAACAAGGTGTTTATGCATTCTATTGATACTCCTTTTTTTTTTTTTTTGAAGATGACAAAGTATGTCACTTTTAATTTTCAATAAATTAACTCATATGTAAAAAATACAAATAAAGTGTTACATAATGTCACTTTTTGATGTAAAGCAGGGTTTAAATTTATATTCATATTTAAATTTCATAGATACACACATATACATCTCTTTAATTGATTCTAAAAAATTCACATGAAATATAGTATGACCTTTTTCAGAAAAGTGACAGAGAATGTTAACTTCAAGTTTTAGCATCTTAATTCATTTACAAAATATAAATAAAGTATTACATCATGTCATAGTATTTGTCTTTTAAACCCATGTTTCTCATGATTTTTCAAAATGATTTCAAAAGGATATTTCTATAAGTCTATGTACCAACTTGGATATAGTCCAGGCCCAAGCCTGTGCACATACTGAGTCAGCTACTGGCACTGCGCGTGTGCATGTGGGCTTTGACCAAACCTTGTATCATCTAGGTCATCTCTCATTCAGAGGCTATTGGTACCCTTGAGGTGCAAACTCGAGTTTCAAACTTGAGCTATATTATGTGATTTTTATTCTTCTCGTTTATTCATGTGGGAATGACATTTTCTCAATTTTCCGCCAAGTTTTATTCTCTATTTATTTCTACTTCAACTGGCATCTTTTGGCCATGATTTCTCATTCACAAAAAATTGATTTTGAGAAACATAATATACTGTGTTGATCTACTTGCGAAATAGAACACGTTTGGCCAAAGAAATTTTTCGTCGGACTACTGGGATCCATCAAATAATTGGTCAAACCAATTTTCCAACAAAAACCCTTATTCCTCATCCCCAACGGACCTATCTAGTCGTTCTTGTACAGATGACACCCTCCCGTTTGTTATTCCGTGTGAGAAGCGACACTTAAGCTCGGAAATTCTACAAACCTCACTCATTTAGAACGTCTGAAGGTAGCCATAACACCATTGGGTCTTCCCAAGCTTCTCAGAATCTAATAATCTCATTAAAATCACCTCCACATAAGCGAAGTCCTGACTAGTTTCACCTCAGTTGATGAAACATATCACACAAGAAGTGTTTAAGTTCAGGTTGGGATTACCATAAACAAATGTAATCCTCAACTCTATCCCTTCAGTTGATTGTCTTATCGAGGTGTCCATGTGCATGTTGGAGTAATGCTTAATCTGCACATCCTACCCTTTATAATAATATAAGCCCCAACCTTTTTTCCTTTCCATCCACCACAGAACCATGATGAAATCCAAGTTGATAAATAAGATTTGTTGCCCAAAGTGCCCAAGAGTCGAATTTTAGACAAGAAAACCAGACCTGGGGAATAGCTCCGAATTAACTCTTGCCGAACGGAGACCATATACGAGTTTCTTGCCCTTAATACGTTCTAGCTAGGGTTGTTAACGGATTGAATTTTGATCCGAATCAGATGAAATTAATGGAAGATGGATTTAGGGTCATAGTCCGATAATCGAATCAAGATCTGAATCTGATAATCCGTTAACTAAATAAAGCAAATATGGATATAGGCAATTGAATCCGATAACATCCTAATCCGATTTATTATAATAATATAATATATGTTATAAACTAGAGAAAAAAGAAAGAACAAAATAGAGAAGCAAATGGAATTGTGTATTATATTAAGAATCAAAATCTCATATATGCAGGGAAGAAAGTAGGAATACAATGGTAATAGAATATAGGGTTATATGGGTATAATTGTCATTCACAAATACTACGTTATTTACAACACTTCTCTTTGAATGACTATTTACACAAGAGTTTTGCTACACGTACACCAAGGTTGACACTTTGGTGTACACTGGAGTGTCAATCCCAGTGCACAAATAGCATTTTTCATTTACACAATAACTCTCGTTGAAATATTGTTTGGCAAAAAATTCAATGGGACAAAAGTGTTAATAAATGAAAAAAGAGTACAAATAATTTGGAATAGTAAAATGTTGTTTCATTAAAATCCTGTTAATAAAATTCAGTAGGATAAAACTTGATCAAAGGAAAGACAGTACAGCTACTCCCTTTTGATTTCAATTCTTGTATCCATTTATCTTTATTTTATATATCAACGTCTTCAATATTGCGATTCATGGTGAAGTGTGTTCATGTTATCTCGTATGGTCTTCTAATAATATCATATTCATACGAAATATTTATCAACTTTTGATGACTATAGTGACATAATGATTCAAAAAATAGCTATTATTAATCTCTTCGAAAGCCTCATACCTATTATTATTATTTTGATGATAAATGTCTTTTAGGTTATGGACATTCATTACGCAAAGAATATGCTTTGTTAAAATTTTATTTAGGAAAACCCTGTGGGAAAAATCCTTATGAAGGAAAACAGTATATTATTCTTTTAAATATACTACAAAAATTATCTCATTAAAAACCTTGCTAGAAAAATTCAGTAGGAAAGAGTATGATAAAGGAAAAAAAAAATACAACGCATATTTACTCCCTCTCATGATAATATCACTTAAATTATACTTGAAGCAAAATAATTCTTTAATAATAACATTAATACTCAGGTCAAATGAGTTGACTATAATGTATTTCAAATTTTATGCATCGTCAACA